TTTATTACTTGAACGATTCGGTCATACTTGCCGATTGTGAAACAAGTTTGTGACATCATATTTTGGTGCTTACAAATTTGTCCATCAAGAAGAAGAAGATGAAGATGATGATGAAGAAGAAGAAGATGAAGATGATGATCATGATGTCGATGAAGAAGAAGAAGATGAAGATGACGACGATTGAATGTTGGACATCTATTGTAGCAAATTGAACTATCATTTGAATACAGTTATCTAAAATACTTTTTTAAAAGTTGTATGCAATTATTTAGACATTGACTTTAAAATACATTGATCCATCCTTATTCATTTCTTTTTTCTCCCTTTATTTGTAACCATTCCAATGCAGTAATGATAGGACAAGGTTCAGAACGTCCTGATAAAGGAAAGGGGGTAGGAAGGCCTAAAAAGAGGCAACGACAGGCACCAAAATATGTACTTAGGGTGCCTGGTACACTACCTAGCATTGCTGCCCCCGGTACATCATCTATGGCGCCTCCTCCTACCCCTACAGTGGCGCCTCCTCCTACCCCTACAGTACAGCCTTCTCCTACCCCTACAGTACAGCCTTCTCCTACTCCTGCAGCACACCGTTCTACTACCCCTGCAGCAGACCCTCTTCCTCCTCCTGTGATTATAAACCCCACTCCTTCCCCTGTGGTTATTACCCCCACTCCTCTCCCTGACCCTACTTCGATACCTTCCTCATCTACTATACCGCCTTCTCAGACTGTCACACCATCTGCTGAGCCAGATTCAAGTGGTGATGGTGATGGCTTGACCCGCCCCTCCATGATCGACCATGGATTGAGCCGTATGGTAAAGGGTAAGATATTAATCTCTTCACATAATTTGATGTTTATACCTTACTGTAATTGAAATGACTTCTATTATGCAGGTTTATTCCATCTAGGGTTGCTTCCCAGGCCATCACACGTTCAATTAAGCAACAGTTTTTAAGTCCATGGCCTACTTGGGGAGCAATACCTGACGACGACAGAAAGCCATTCTAGGAGCGTTTTCAGGTGAACAATCCACTAAACTAATTGTCCCTCTTATTTTAGTATGTTCTGTAATCAATGTTTGTTCTCTTTAATGTTATAGATGAAGGTGCAGTGGAAACCTGAACATGAAAGTAAAATACACAGAAATTTCCACATGAAAGCATCTCATCGGCTCTCAGAGATGTTTAGGGATGCCCGCAATGTAGGACAGCGCCCTTACTGGATGGGTGAACAAATTTGGAACTCTTTACTGGCTCATTGGAATACAGTAGAGTTTCGCAATAAGTGTGCCAAAGCCCAGAGGAACAGAGCATCTGAAAAGGGTGGCACCCTGCATACTGGTGGGTCGATCACCATTCATGAGCATGCCATTCGTATGGTAAAATTTCATTCCCTAACTTTTGCTTTCACGATCACACTTATGTATTTTTTATTTCATATGTACAGTTATAATTGTCAATTTTGTTACAGGCACAAGCTCTGGGACGGGCGGTCCATGTTGATGAGGTCTTTGCACAGACTCATGTTCGGAAAGGTACTAATCAATTCGTTGATGAAAGATCTCGCAAGACTCATGTAAGCAAATAACACTATTACTATTACTAATTTTTCATTTATATTATGTCATTCCCTAACATTGTTTTTAATGTTTCAACAGGAAGAATTTTCTACGAGACTTTCACAAGTTAGATCTGAACATGAGTCAGCTCCTACACCGGATGATGCGAGTAATGCAGAAGACGACATCCGTAGGACGTAGTGCTGGGTCGACATTGTCGGTGGCAAGAAGAAGGGTCGCTTGTACGGTGTAGGACAACTTGCTGCAAACTACACAACATCGAGAGGAGGTACTCTGAAGCACCAACCTTCTTCTTCCACCACTGCTCCTGAGGAGGTTGTTGTCCGCCTCACGCAAGCACTGGAGCAACGTGACCAGGAGCTCACTGATCTCAGAGTAGAGTTTACAAACTTTAAAGCCCTGGTCATGAGAGTGTTGCCTGAGACCTCACAGGACGTACATCATATCCCTTCGACACAGTCAGGACCGTCCTCGTCATCACCCGTTGCCCCTCAGCAGCCCACATCAGTCCAGCAACCCTCATCAGTCCAACCCTCATCAGTTCAACCCACACCAGTCCAGCCATCAATACAAGAGCAGGATGATGAAGATCATTCTGATGAAGACTATGTACATTATTAGTTTTATTTTGTTTTTACTTCTTATAGAAACTGTTGGATATTACAAACATTTGGATATTACAAACATTTGGAATTTAGATCATTTCGATGTTATAAAACTAGATAACTTTGGATGTTAGGACATCAATATGGTTTTATGTTTTAACTATAAATTACATGTTATATAGATTAATGCATGTTCTATTTCTTAATGGATGCACTATGGATATTGATTAGTGATTGCATCTTTGAGATGCACATTATGCACATCTGTATATACTTGAAAATTGTTATCCAGGTCTGTTTATGCTTGAAACTATTATGCAGGTCTGATTGTGTGGTTGGTTTCATAAAAAACAGAGTAATCCATTATTTTTTCGTGCCACTTACCGAAAGCCTTTGCCCCTCGGTAAACACCAATCTCATGACATTACCGAAGGCTTTTGGCCCTCGGTAATTACCGAAGGCTTGTGGCCCTCGGTAATTACCGAAGGCTTGTGGCCCTCGGTAATTACCGAAGGCTTTTGGCCCTCGGTAATTACCGAAGGCTTTTGGCCCTCGGTAATTACCGAAGGCTTGTGGCCCTCGGTAATTACCGAAGGCTT